GATTAATGATTGTGCATTGAGCATTGAGTCCCCTATACAGAATTTTATTGTTGTTAACAACCATTTGATCAATAAATATGAGAGATGCCCTCTCAAAAAAAAAAATCTCTTGAATATAAACATGAGCAACTTTTTCCTGAACACATCTCCTCAGGCAAAGGAAACAAAATCAAAAAAGAACAAGTGGGACTACATCAAACTAAAAAGCTTCTGTACAGCAAAGGACAACATCAGCAGAACAAAAAGGCTTCCTATAGTATGGGAGAATATATTCGTAAATGACTCATCTGATAAGGGGTTAACATCCAAAACATATAAAGAACTCATGCACCTCAACACCCAAAAAACAAATAACCCAATCAAAAAATAGGCAGAGGACCTGAACAGACACTTCTCCAAAGAAGAAATATGGATGGCCAACAGGCACATGAAAAGATGCTCCACCTCACTAATCATCTGGGAAATGCAAACTAAAACCACAATGAAGTATCATCTCACACCAGTTAGAGTGGCCACTATCCAAAAGATAAGAAATAACAAATGCTGGTGAGGGTCTGGGGAAACAGGAACCCTCCCTCCTACACTGTTAGTGGGACTGCAAATTGGTGCAACCACTGTGGAAAGCAGTATGGAGGTTCCTCAAAAAGCTAAAAGTAGAAATACCATTTGACCCAGTAATTTCACTTCTACAAATTTATCCAAAGAAAACAAAATCCCTAATTCAAAAAGATATATGCACCCCTATGCTTATTGCTGCACTGTTTGCAATAGCCAAGATATGGGAGCAACCTAAGTGTCCATCAACAGATGACTGGATAAAGGAGATGTGGTACATACACACAATGGAATATTATTCAGCCATAAAAAGAAAAGAATTCCAGCCATTTGCAACAACATGGATGGATCTAGAGCATATTATGCTCAGTGAAATAAGCTAGGTGGAAAAAGACAAATAACATATGATTTCACTTACTTGTGGAATATTAAAACAAAGCAAAACAGAAGGAACAAAACAGCATTAGACTTATAGACACTAAGAAGTGACTGTTCAACCACTGTGATGTACATTTGATAAAATAAAAAAATAAAATAAAAAGAACTCAGAATTAAACAGAATGAATGTAAGGAATACAGACTTTACTCAAAAGAAAGCCCTCAAGACATTTTTTTCATTGATGGATCAAAAGGGTAGATGTTGGCTAATGTTTTAAGTGCTGAATATTACTCAATACAGTGAAAACACAAGCCACCTTAAATGATAATTTCATGAAGGATATACTGTTTAAGACTATTACCAAACTATACTCCTCAAAATTCCTTTCATGATTCTTGAAACTGAACATACATAGTGAACTTCACTCTGCCCCTATACCCCACAAAACACTTCCCCTTAAGCTTAAGTCAATTTCACCTCAGAATTCCCCAATTTGGAATTTTTTCTTGTCTTTTTTGGGGGGGCAACATCCTATCTGAGGAATGCTCATTAATATCCACCTAGAGGTGGAGATGCTGCTGCTTTAAAAATTATAAAACAAATAATACATTATTTTATTATAAAAAACTACCATAGTTATTCCTATAAATAAAACTTGCCAGTGATTCAAAGGTCTCTGGTTTCTCATCAATCTTCCCAGCCTTCTTCATGCGGTTCAGACGCTTCTTTTCAACCAAGCCAGTGCGATCAAGAAACGTGTCATCATCACTATCATAAAAGTCTTCATCTTCCCAGTTCTTGGCTTTCCTTTTCCGAGATACTAGAGGTAGACAAAATAAATGATAATGATGTAAGTTAAAATAAATAAAAGAAAAAGAAGGTAAGAAGGCAAGCATCTTAAAATATCACCCTTAATTACTGAAACAGGATTCAACAAGCTTCCAAACTACATATAAAAATAAAGGGCTAAACCTAAGTGAAAAAAGCCAAAAACAAAAGGACACATATTGCATAGTTAAACTTATCTGAGGTCCCTAGAGTAGTCAAATTCATAGAGACAGAAAGTAGAACAGTGGTTACCAGGGGCTGGGGGGAGGAGAATGGGAAGTTTGTATTGAATGGGTACAGTTTCAGTATGGGATGATGAAAAAGTTGTAAAATGGATAGTTGTGATGGTTGTACAATGTAAATACACTTAATGCCCCTGAACTGTACACTTAAAAATGCCTAAAATGATAAACTTTTATGTATATTTTACCATAATAAAAAGTTAAAACAAAGGGCTAATTTAATAAGTAAAAAAGGAAAAAGGAGAAGGCCAATCCAAAAAAAAGTTTGAAAAATAATAATACAAGCAGCTCACAGAAAAAGAAATACAAATGTCTAACATATATCTGAAAAGATGTTAAACTTTTTAATAATTAAAATAATACAAATTAAAATGGGACATTACTTCTCACCTACTAGACTAGAATAAACACAAAAAGATTAATAATGCCCTATTTGGCAAAGGTATGGGGAAGTGGATCCTCGAACAGTTGGTGGAAGTATATATACATTGATACAATCTTCTGATGGACAATCTTACAACATCTGTCCATATTAAAAATGCAATTGACCCAGCAATTCCTTTTATAGGAATTTATCCTATTGATGTTAATGCAACATTGTCTGTCCAGTGAAAATCTGGAGAGCCCATCAACAAGAGACTATAGTAGCTATTACATTTTTGTCTACCCTACACTGTCTTACTACCCTTTTTCTGGGAAAAGTACCCCCTTTCTTCAAGAAAACTCTTCCCTGAGGCCATCTGGATTAGGAGGAGTCATGTAACCAAAGCCAGATTAATAAGAATTCCTTTCTCACATTTATATTTAGATATAGGGGAAAAGAGGTTCTCTTTCCAATGAGGTTATTAAAGATGGAAGACAAAAATCTAGGGCTGTAAGCAGCCAGCTTTTCCACATGACCCAGATTCCTTAAGAATCTGTCTGCAAAATAAAGCCATGTACTTATGAGACAGACTAACTCATAGACACACATACAGTCTCCATATGTCCTGTTGATACTGAGTTCTGGTTTGGAAGCACTAAGTTCTAGTTCCAGAACTTAAGTCCTGGTTCATGCACTTCTTCCTTCAATCCTATGAGCTACACTTAGCAGCTTCTGGAGCCAAAACATTTCCCCCTAAGCTAGTGTGAACTGGTTTTCTATTATTGCAACCAAAATAGTCCTTATTAATATAAACCTGATCATTTCCAGGTTAAGATGGTACACTGAACATACATCGTGAACTTCACTCTGCCCCTACACCCCACTAAAACTGCAGTAAAGAACTCTTTTTTTAAAGACACTAATCTACAAAGACAGGGAAAACAGGAGAGGAGACAGCAACACAAAATCTTTGGAAATGAGAAAGCAGTCAGATGAATGGAAACTAATAGCAGAACTAAAAAGAGGAATTCTTAACCAACAGTGGGGAAAGCTGAGAACCAATCTGATGACACTGCAGATCATCAAAAGGATCTGGACCTGGGGATGGACAGCAGTGTAAAAATAAGGAGAACTGAGCAAAAGCTAGTTGAGAAACAGATCCTTCACCCTCCTCACTCACTTCTTTCCCATGTTCAGAAAAATTCCTAGAAAGGGTAAGACAGAGAGTCTGTGAAATGTAGGTTAACTAGTTCAGTTGAGGGCATGGATACTATACTCTAAAAATACTACTGCCTGAAAAATAGCTGAATGTTGAGAACCCCCTCACCCATCTACCACCACTTTGTTCTAGGAATGCTGGCAGCCAGTCCTCTCCTTCCATGCAGGAGACCAGAAGAGCACTCTATGGGGAATCTCACCAGCAGAAGGGGAAAAAACCTAAGGCTACTTATATGAGGAGCTCCCCAAAAAAAGGCCCACCCACATCATTCCATAGTGTTGCTCAAAGTTAACAAGTCACACTTATATTTTCCAAGCTGCCAATCACTTTTTTATCCCCCAATAAGAATCTAACAACAAAGGACCACATGACACCTGAGCAAAATCTCTAACATGCAGGATAGAGACTGAACAAAAAGGAAAAGCAACCTGGAGAAAACAGATTAGCAAAGAGATAAGAAATTTACAATCCAGGAAACAACAGGATGTTACATTTTTAAAATAAATATTCAATAAAGAAAATGAGCTTTTTTAGAAATCAAAATCTGACAGCAAAATAAGCACAGAAAGATAAAGTTGCAGAAATCTCCTAGAAAAAAAACAAAAAGACATAGAGATAGAAAAGAAAAAAAAACAAAACAAAAACAAAAAACTTACATGGTCAGCCCAAGAGGTTCAATATCTAAGTAACAAAGTTCCAAATAGGACAGAGAAAACAGAGGGAATGAAATGATCAACGGCATAAATCCAGAAATGTTCCTGAATTCTCAAGACTTCCAGATCAAAAGGACACAATAAGTACCCACAAAAATGGATGAAAACAAGATCCACAGAAGGGTACATCACAATTAAGTTTCATAACTTTGAGAGCAAAGGGAAACTCTTACAAACTTCTTAGTGACAGGGAGAAGAAAGACAACATACAGTAAATCAGGAATCTGAAGAGTTTAGGACTTTAATAGCAACACTGTATAAAAGATGATAAGAACAATGCCTTCAAAGTTGTGAAGGAAAATAGGTTCCAACCTAGAATTCTATTCCCAGCCAAACTATTAAACAAGAGTAAAGCTACAATAACTGTATTTTCAGAATGGAGGATTTGATAAAATTTACTTACTGTACAGCTTTTCTCAGGAATCCACTAGGGAATATCCACCAAAATGAGAGAGCAGACCAAGAAAAATGAAAAAGGTGAAATCCACTGAAGACTATCATTATTCATGTCTTCAATTACTGTACTAGTTGTTTAACCTGCTAAAACTACTGAAAGACCTGCTCCACTAAAGTAAGGGGATAAACCAAGAAATATGAAAATCTGAGAATCAAGAAACAGAAAATCCAACCCTGAAGAAAAACAAAGGAAATCTCAGATGTCAGCAAAGTGAAGTCCCAAATGACAGTTCTGCAGCAGATCTAGAAAGCTTTTTTTTTTTTTAAGAAATAACAAACACTTATTCAGAAATGGATAAGTAACACATATAGTCCTCCACCCCTTAATGCTTCTTCCTCTCTTTTTGATCAAGAGACACAGATGCAGAATGTAGGAGAGAGGGACACAAGGATTAGCCCACCATCTTCTCTTTCATTTCCCACAATGACATCCTGCAGAGCAGGAGAAGCAAACAGGCTCCACCCTGCAGTGTACCAAATAGCTATCCAGAAGACAGCGTCCAGATGGCCAGGTGGCTACAGCCAGGCGCAGTGAAACTCTGTGATAACCAGAGCAGCCTGGCATGGGACTGGAGGGGAACACTGAAAGGAGAAGAGTGCTATTCAGAAGAAATGTCTCCAAAAAAACCCAGAACTGATAAATTATTTAATGTGATTGATCATGTGGAAAAACATTTAAAGGACATTGAAAAGAGTGGGAAGAATGAACAAGAGATACAAAAAAATAGCCAAACACATGAAAAACAAACACAATTATTAACTTTAGGATGAAAATACATAAAACTGCTCAGTTGTGAGTAATATTTATATAAACATAATCATGTAAATACTAATTTAGCAGAGTCAATAGATGTTTAAAATAAATGACTCAAAATAAAACAGCATGCTCTTGTGTTTTAGAAATATGGATATTTTTAAATGCCAGAAGAAATCACTGAAAGAGTTAAAAGCCTTCCAGAGATGAAGACTGGTGATGGGCAGAGCAAGGAACAGGTATAGTTTGCTATAATCCTCTGGTAAGTTTGAACTATACATAAGTTACTTTGTAATAATAAAAATTACTTTTAGAATAAACACAAATAAAAGCCTTGTTAATAAATTTAATGCAATGATATAGATAATATCCATGATCCATTCTTGTTAAAAAAGTCACAAGAGAGTATACATAATATAAATGCATTTGTGTATGAGTATTTATTTTTGTTAAAGGGTCTTATTCTGAACACACATGCATATGCATAGAAAATGTCTGGGAGAATATAAATAAACAAGGGCTATTCCCTATAAAGATACGAAACTTTTTATTTCACTTCATAGCATTCTGTACAATTTACATTTCCCCCTAAAAAGAGGCTTTATTACTTTTTGTGTTAAATTTTCCTTTTTTTTGTTTTTTAAGAAAAAAAGTGCTCCCACATACCTGCCTCCTGCCGCAACAATCCCAAAGTATCAAGGATTCGACAAGCTTCCAGTGAGCACTGGATCATCGCTTCTTTTTTCTTTCCAGAGTGAATGGCTTCAGCCACCAGTTGTTTTCCGGTTGAATCATCCACAGGCAATCTGCATTGGAGGAATTACAGCATAGCCCTAAGCTCCAATACCCATGAAAAAAAACAATATGCTGTGCTAATAGTTATCTTCTTTCAGAAGGCTTTTTAATCTCTCAGTTCATTTTGTTCTGTCTTGCCAAGGCTGGACATCAAACCTTTTCCCTTCACCTCTTACCCATCCTACCCCAACCCCCAATAACATGTGTTAAAAGGCCTCAAGTTAGGAATAGCCTAAAATTAGACTAAAGTTACTCTTTTAGTTGTTGTCTGTAACCATAAATTAAACCACTTTCCAGAAATGGACGTTAATAAGAAAAGAACATACCTCACCCTGCAGAGCCAAGTGCTATGTCCCTGTTCATCAAATTCATATTCTAATTCTTCTCCTGTGGGAGGAAAAAAGGCAAAATAATTTTAATAGCATCTGAAAATTACTAGTTGATGCAAAGGAAAAGAGAGTGAAAGTTAAACAAGAATATCAAGTTTACATACCATACTGAATATGAAGTTTCAAACATTTCACTTCGCATTCCTAGGGACTATCATCTGATAAGAAAATAAGGATGTGCTTGAGGCAGAAAAAAGCACGCTCAGACCAAAACCATCAACTCTCCATACATAGCTTTGTCCACTGCATAGCAGCATTCACACTTACACTAAGTTGTAGACTTAATTTATTAATTTGTCACAGTTGCCTGGTTTTTAGAAACATAAATATTAAGTACAGAATCCAACCAGTTCATACCTATATATTCACACATAAATACACACACACACACAGATTTCTCTCAAAGCATCTCTACTGTAACAATCATCTGTGGAAACATCCTTTAGATCATATGAAGTGAAAATTCATATTAAATATTACAAAAGATAAAGTGAATTAGAAACAAAAAATTACAAGAAATTGGGTCAATCTTCCAACACTCAAATCCAGGATCTTTTGAGAAGAAAGAAAGGAGGCAGGAAAAAATTATTTCCTTTTTTCTAAGATGGGAAGAAAGACCACCAAGATTTCTGTATTTTCAAAATGAAACTGAAGCAACTGACCACAAGAGCAAGAACCGACCAAGGAGGACAGCGGATAAAATAGAGCATTTCTAAGAACCTGAAGATCTAGAAAACAACACTGTGTGGATACTTTTTACTTGAAGGATCAGAGTCTGTTTACCTACCTTCTCTGTCAAAAAAACCTTGGAGAGCCTTCTTTGGATCTTTTATATAAAAGGCCTCCCTTTCCTGCTGGAACTCTAAGACAATGGGGTTCTCTTCAGCTTCATCCTCTACAGCATCTTCTCCTACAGGGTATGGGAAAGAAAGAAGAGACAATCAGACAGGAGAAGAAACTAACTGAATGACACCTATTATCCTTTCAGGCTCATAAAGATACAGTAGTTAGTGATGAAAAGAAAAGTGTGTTGGAGGAATATAACCACAAAACCGCAAGCATGAACATCTCCAGGTTTTCAAAATTGTGTGAAAGGTTAAAACTTGTTTTCATGGCCACCTTTTTTTTCCCCATCATAATATTTAAAAAGCAAAATTAGCTACCACATTGTCTATAGGAAAAAATCTAAACTCTTCAACTTGGCATTCTCATTCTTTCACACTCAGGTCTAACACTTTATCTCCAATATAATCTCCTAATACTCATCATGTCTGCCAAATAGACTAGTCTACTCATTACTCCCTTAAAATCATCAATCCCTGCCCTGAAAACCACTTCCAATGCTCAGCTTCCTAAGGGCTACTCTTCCTTTCCCTCATGCCCCAATTCAAAACCTTTCTATTTATAAACTTAAAAACTTTACCATTGATCTAAGTCAGTGCTGCCCAACAGAAATATAATGAAAGTCATATACATAATTTTACATTTTCTAGTAGCCACATTAAAAAAGAGAAACAGGTGCAATTATCATGTAATATGTAATATTAAGAATGAGATATTTTGAATTCCTTTTTCACACTAAGTCTTCGAAATCCAGTGGGTATTTTACATTTACAGCACATGTCAGTTTAGACTAGCCACACTGTACGTGCTCAATAACCACATGTGGCCAGTGGCTACCATATCAGACAATGCAGCTCTAGGTCCTCAGTGATTGCTCCCTTCTCTAAACCCTTACTCTAGCATACTTATGGTTTCCAACTTTTGTTTGGCACTTAACACAAATAACTGCATAATATTTATCCTGTCTTCCCAATAATGTGTGTTAAAAAATCCATCTTCTATCTTTTCATATTCCTAGTTCCTGAATACCCATCCTCCCAAGTGTCTGGTATTACGGAAAATTCTATTTATTCCTTTGATTATGGGATCAACTTTCTCTGATTAGATATTTCACATTTCAGGGTAGATCCTAAAAATTTGAGGGAATATCCTACATTAATATTCCACTTTACTTGACTGAATGTAGCTCTATCCTCTCCAGTGATAATCAAGGTTGGTACTTTACAAATATTTATTTTTAAATGGTAAAAACAATGAGAAAGTTTGAACAAGGGCGTGCATCATAAAGTACATTAAAAGAAATTCATAGGGCCCATAATTCGAATTTTTGACATCAGAAAAGTTTAGGAATCTGTCTGGGTTTTGGTAACTTCATATGCAAATTGTATTTGTCCTATTTGTCTCAAGGAGTCATAAAAAGCTGTATGATTAAAAACATTTAAGGGTGCCACTAATAATGAATTTAAAATATTACCCGCTGGAAGCAGCTTTAATTTCTTACCCATTCCCCAGGTGCAGCCCACTTCTTCATCTTGACTACTAGTATTTCCCTTTCTTTCAGCGGGATCCATTTCCTCTTCTTCATCTGAGTCTTCTCCTATCATCTTCTTCTCCAACATCATTTGTTGCTGCTTGCGCAGTTCCTTCAATTGCGTTACTGTCAACTCGGATTCCGCCTCTCGGTCTTCCTCTGGTCCCTGACCAACCAAGGTAAGGAATTAATTTAGAGTTCGGGCCTGTTTTAGTCACTTTTGGAAATTTGGCGGTGTGTACAGAGGTCTGGATGTGACGGAACAGATTCTTCCACTTTTGTAGTCACTGAATGGAAGAAGCTGCTTCCTCAGACAAAGAACCCAGCCCGGTGCCCTCCAGGTTTCAGTTCTAGGTTTTTCTACTTACCTGAAGAAGAAAGAGCCGGGTGCTGCCTCCAAAGCGAAGTACGTGCCCGACGTGGACTCGACAGTAAGTGCGGGGTGGGATGCGGGTTTTGTTAAGAAAAGTGCCGTGGGTGCTTCCTAGATCGTAGAGGTAGAAGCCCGGCCCACGGCCGTCGCATTCTCCATCGGCGCCGGACGCCCTGTGCTGCAGCACCGCGTGGTACCGAGACACCGAAGGGTGCTCCAGGCACACGTCGCAGCCGGACAGCCTCCCGAAAAGGCAGTAACTCGTCCCTTCTAAGCTACGGGTGCCGAGGACGGTGCCGCCCTTCAGAGTCTCTAGGCTGTAGGGGGCAGTAGCGGGGCCGCCCCACGGCGGCTCTTGGTAAGAGGGAGCCCGGGCCGCGCCTCCAGGAGAAGGAGCCGCTGTTTGGGGCCGCGGCTGCTCCTCCGGTGGACTCCTGATCTCCCCGCTGTCCGGCCGGGCCGGCGGGACGTCAGGCTCCCCGGAATCGGGGTCCAGCAGCGCCAGCAGCTTTTCTTTCTTCACCTCCTCAGGGTTTGAAGGATTGGTGGCCGGAGCCTTGCCCCGCACCACTGGGGGGACCTGCAGGGTCGGCTTCTTGAAGTCGTCGTTGAGTTCTTGATAAGCCAGGGGCTCCGACTGAGATGAACTGTCAGCCATCCTCAGTCGGTGCAGTCTCGATATCTGGTCCTGGGAAACCTCCCCCTCGGTCTGTACGTTCCTCTCCACGCCTCTCTCTCTCCCCACTCCCAGCAGCTTCCTCTGGGCAGCAATGGTGGAATTGCTCCTTCACACCCAGAGCGTCGTGTGTATCACCGGGAGGCCATAATAGAAAAACCCAAAAAGGCGGGGTGGGCAGGAGTGTTCTCAGAACGGGGACATCTTGAGCGGTTGCAACCTGATTGTAGCGACTTCCTGTTGCATAGCCTAATTGAGAAGAAGCGCTTCCGGCAGCCGGGACCACTAAGCAGCCTTCCCCGCCTGACGCGACCCTCGCCTCCGGCCCTTCGAAGTCCTGCGACCGCCCAGCCTAACCCAGTTCCTGCGGCGCTTCCCTGCCCTGTTCCGTGTCCAGGCTTCCCCGGCTGCCCATCCCCGGGCATCAGGTGATCCCAAGACCCTGTGATTGGCACCTGCTGACGGTGACCGAGGAGCCCCCGAAGGATCTGGGTATTCCTTGGGCATAGTCCCTGTTCTTCGTGCTCCTTTTGGTGAAGTTAAGAAAAAGGGCAATTTCTTTGTTCCTCCGTTTATTAATTTATTGGTCCACTCGTTTCTTCTTTACAAAACCAGCTAATGTGGGAGCATAGCATAGTGCTTAAGAGTGCGGACTCTGGAGGCTGTCTTGATTCTCCCCTTCGGGCATTTATGACATTGGGCGAGTCAGCGGGCTTCCACATCAGAAAAATGGGATAACAACAATATCTAATTCATGATGTAGTTGGGAAATTTGAATTAAACCATAAAGATAAAGCCTGGCACATAGTAAGCACTCAATAAATGTCATATATTATTGTGTGCCAGACATTCTGTTAAGATCATGGTCATCAGGGAAAGATGGGAGAGTAAAATCGATTGAGATGAGTACTAGTTTAATAGTTTATCCGGGAGTAAACTAGTTGTGTTGGAGATGTGCAGACTGCTCTGAGAATATAATGAAAGGAGAGAGACTGAGAGGTGATGAAGAGTGACTTAAGCTATACATTAAGAATACAAGTTGTCCAGAGATGTGGTAGGTGGCAGGACATTTCTGATGGAGAGCATAGCTTTAAGGGTCATGACATTCTCAAGAAACTGAGTAGTATAATATTGTTCGTATGATATTGAGCTTCCTCCAGGAAACTCCCCCTTTGTGCTTCCACTGAGCTAGAACTGTGCCTCTGGAACAGCACACTTAATCACATACTTTCTCATTGAAATATTCTGTTGTTTCTCATCCTTACCTCAGGTCAGGAATCTTGCATCTGTCTTTGCCTCCTCCCATAATGCCTTGCATTCAATAAATGTTTGTTGAACTTGAAGAGACATGGGCAGTGAATCTGGAAAGGTGGGTTCAAGCCAGATTTTGAATTTCACTGAATGGTAGACCAAACACTTATGACTTTTTTCCAATAGTAATAGGAAACAATTACATCTGAGTTCTAAAAAAGATTAAGCCTAGCAGCACTGGAGAATAAATTAGATACAAGGAGAGAGTGCCAGTTAGAAAGCAGCAGAAATTACTGATTCTTTCTTATATATGTCAGAAGTTGAATACATAAGACCATTTAGATTATTGGTCAATAATGTTTCCACCAGGACCAGGTGAAAAGTTTTCATGCCTTTATCTGTGATACACGCAGAATAAGAACTACCTCTTCCTATCTTTACTCCCGTTCTTCTGCTGATCCAGGACAGATGTGTCAAGATACTCTGAGAAATATATTGGGTCTCACATAAGTATCTTGCCTTGCAGATCATTCAGAACTGTGCATGACAATAGTTCTAGTAATGAGTTAGTGGGGTGAGATGGAAAGTGTGGACAAAAGAGCCCCAGACACTATTGCAGCTATTAGTCTAATCCACCCTGTGGTTCCGTCCAGTAGGAACTGTTATTGTGTATGGTACTGATGACTGGCATCTAACAGTTTTCTCTTAATTTCTTCAGGAAGAATATCTTTGAACCTAGAGTGTAGCTGACACCGACATTTTTCTAAGCGGCCTTGAACAGCCTACTTTTTAGGTAAATAACTGGCTAGACTACATAGTTTTCACTATAAAAGCCTATAAAGTACAGTTGTCAGAGATTTAAGGATATCATCTACAATTAACTTGAAAGCTCTTGCTTATTCCAAAATGTTGAGATACTGGGGAGAGATACCAATCTCATCAAGCCAGACTAACCGAAGTTCCTTTGATTTGCTCCCACGGGAGTTCCGTCTGGTGGAAGTCCATGACCCACCTCTGCACCAACCCTCAGCCAACAAGCCCAAGCCCCCCACTATGTTAGACATTCCCTCAGAGCCATGCAGCCTCACCATCCATACCATTCAGCTGATCCAGCACAACCGACGTCTGCGCAGCCTCATTGCTACAGCTCAGGCCCAGAATCAGCAACAGACAGAAGGTGTGAAGACTGAAGAGAGTGAACCTCTTCCTTCCTGCCCTGGGTCACCTCCTCTTCCTGATGACCTCCTGCCTTTAGATTGTAAGAATCCCAATGCACCATTCCAGATCCGGCACAGTGACCCAGAGAGTGACTTTTATCGGTAAGGCCAGGCTTTGCTATATCTTACTTTTCTCAAAGAGTCTTCCCAACAACCCTGTTAGGCATATAATAACATTTCCATGAGGAAACTGAACACACAAGTAACTGACTTCACCAAATTGCTCAGGTAGTTAGTGGAAAGTCTAAGACTTGAATCGTGACCTTCCAAATCCAGAGCCTGTATTTTTAAATTTTCTGATAAAACAAATATTGAGTGATCACTATGTGCCAAGCACTATACTAGAAGCAAGATACTGCACTGGTATATAAAATAGGCCATGGCCTCATAGTCCTCAAAGTCTAGTCTTTCTAGTTCATTCAAAATGTACATTATGGATTTAGCTCAGTGTCCTCAAATTGAGATTCATAGACTTTACTCTCTTGTTGTTAGGAATCTTCAAGCTATATACAAGAATTTTTTGTCTATTTTCATTTTGATAACATAGTTGAAGAAGCAGTGATATAAAAATGTTCTTGACCCTTGCTGTCAAAATCAGTCCAATACCACATCAACACCACTTGGAGGCTTGTTAGAAAAGCAGAGTCTCAGGCACCCAGACCTGCAGAATCGAGCTTCATTTTACCAAGCTCTCCAGTGGACTCACGTGTGCATTGAGGTTTGAGAAGCTTCAGATCCCCTGAATTACTGCTTTATAACCTAGTGCTACTACTAGTTTCAGTGTATGTTTCCATTTGGTGCCAAATAACTACTTTTTTCTTTTCATTTTGAAATTTGTGAGACCTACAGAAAATTTTAAATAATAGTAAAACAAACACCCAAATATCTTTCACCTGGATTCAGCAGTTGGTAACATTTTGCCACATTTACTTTTTCACTCTCACATTTGTGTAAGTCTGTAAACACACATATATAGACAAACATCAACATTTAGACACACACTTACACACTTTTTTCACCCAATATTTTAAAGTTGTAGATATTGCAGTATTTCACCCCTAAATCTAAACATTCTTTTGCCTCTGAATTCTTCACTTAGTATCCTAAGAATAAGGAAACTGTCTTTTTTTTTTCTTTGGTATCATTAGTATACAATTACATGAGCAATATTGTGGTTACTAGACTCCCTCCATTATCAAGTCCCCACCACATACCCCATTACAGTCACTGTCCATCCACATAGTAAGGATGCTGTAGAATCACTACTTGTCTTCTCTGTGCTATACTGCCTTCCCCGTGCCTCCCCACACACACTATGTGTGCTGATTGTAAGGCCCCTTTTTCCCCTTATCCCTCCCTTCCCACCCATCCTCCCCAGTCCCTTTCCCTTTGGTAACTGTTAGTCCATTCTTGGGTTCTGTGAGTCGGCTGCTGTTTTGTTGCTTCAGTTTTTTCTTTGTTCTTATACTCCACAGATGAGTGAAATCATTTAATACTTGTCTTTTTCCACCTGGCTTATTTCACTGAGCATAATACCCTCTAGCTCCATCCATATTGTTGTAAATGATAGGATTTGTTTTCTTCTTATGACTGAATAGTATTCCATTGTGTATATGTACATCTTCTTTATCCATTCATCTACTGATGGACACTTAGGTTGCTTCCATTTCTTGGCTATTGTAAATAGTGCTGCGATAAACATAGGGGTGCATATGTCTTTTTGAAACTGGGCTCCTGCACACTTAAGGTAAATTCCTAGGAGTGGAATTCCTGGGTCAAATGGTATTTCTATTTTTAGATTTTTGAGGAACGTCCATACTGCTTTCCACAATGGTTGAACTAATTCACATTCCCACCAGCAGTGTAAGAGGGTTCCCCTTTCCCCACATCCTCACCAACATTTGTTGTTTGTCTTTTGGGTGGTGGCCATCCTAACTGGTGTCAGGTTATATCTCATTGTGGTTTTAATTTGCATTTCTCTGATGATTAGGGATGTGGAGCATCTTTTCATGTGCCTGCTGGCCATCTGAATTTCTTCTATGGAGAAGTGTCTGTTCAGATCCTCTGCCCATTTTGTAATTGGATTATTTGCATTTTGTTTGTTGAGCGTGAGCTCTTTGTATATTTTGGATATCAACCCCTTATCGGAATGTCATTTACAAATATATTCTCCCATGCTATAGGATGCCTTTTTATTCTACTGATGGTGTCCTTTGCAGTACAGAAGCTTTTTAGTTTGATATAGTCTCACTTGTTCACTTTTGCTTTTGTTTCTCTTGCCCATGGAGATATGTTCATGAAGAAGTTGTTCATGTTTATATTCAACAGAGTTTTGACTATGTTTTCTTTTAAGAGTTTTATGGTTTCATGACTTACATTCAGGTCTTTGATCTATTTTGAGTTTACTTTTGTGTATGGGGTTAGACAGTAATCCAGTTTCATTCTATTGCATGTAGCTATCCAGTTTGGCCAGCACCAGGTGTTGAAGAGCCTGTCATTTCCCCACTGTATATCCATGGCTCCTTTATCATATATTAACTGACCATATATGCTTGGGTTAATATCTGGACTCTATTCTGTTCCACTGGTCTCTGGGTCTGTTCTTGTGCCAGTACCAAACTGTCTTGATTACTGTGGCTTTGTAGTAGAGCTTGAAGTCGGGGAGTGAGATCCCCCGTCCTGCTTTATTCTTCCTTGTCAGGATTACTTTGGCTATTCAGGGTCTT